CATAAGGAGATCAAGGGGATTCGAATTGGAAAGGATGAAGTTAAACTTTCGTTATTTGCTGACGATATGATAGTTTACATAAGTGACCCCAAAAACTCTACCAAAGAACTCCTACAGCTGATAAACACCTTTAGTAACGTGGCAGGATACAAGATCAACTCCAAAAAATCAGTGGCCCTCCTATACACAAAGGATAAAGAAGCAGAGAGGTTAATCAGAGAAGCATCACCTTTCATGATAGCCACAAATAGCATAAAATATCTTGGGGTTACTCTAACCAAGGAAGTGAAAGACCTATTTGACAAAAACTTTAAGTCTTTGAAGAAAGAAATTGAGGAGGATACCAGAAAATGGAAAGACCTCCCCTGCTCTTGGATTGGGAGAATCAACATAGGAAAAATGGCAATTCTACCAAAAGCAATCTATAGATTCAATGCAATCCCCATCAAAATCCCATCAAACTTCTTCACAGACCTTGAGAGAACAATAATCAAGTTTATATGGCAAAACAAAAAACCCAGGATAGCCAAAACAATCTTATATAATAAAAGAACTTCTGGAGGCATTACCATCCCTGACTTCAAACTCTATTATAGAGCTACAGTATTGAAAACAGCTTGGTATTGGCATAAGAACAGAGAAGTCGACCTATGGAATCGAATAGAAGACCCAGATATTAACCCACAAACTTATGAACACCTAATTTTCGACAAGGGAGCTAAAGGTATACAATGGAAGAAGGAAAGCATCTTTAACAAATGGTGCTGGCATAACTGGATGTCAACCTGTAAAAAAATGAAAGTAGATCCATATCTATCACCATGCACAAAAATCAAGTCCAAATGGATTAAAGACATCAACATTAATCCGTCCACTTTGAACCTGATAGAAGAGAAAGTGGGAAGTAGTCTACAAGATTTAGGCACAGGAGGCCTCTTCCTAAGCAGGACCCCAGCAGCACAGACAATAAGAGAAACAATGAATAAATGGGATCTACTGAAACTGGGAAGCTTCTGTAAAGCAAAGGACACTGTCAGTAGGACAAAAAGGCTGCCTTCTGACTGGGAGAAGATCTTCACCAACCCCTCATCAGACAAAGGTCTGATCTCCAAAATATACAAAGAACTCAAGAAACTAGGCACTAAAACTCTAATTAACCCAATTAAAAAATGGGGTACTGAACTTAACAGAGAATTCACAACAGATGAACTTCGAATGGCCAGAAGACACTTAAGGTCATGCTCAACCTCCTTAGCGATCAGGGAAATGCAAATCAAAACCACTTTGAGATACCATCTTACACCTGTCAGAATAGCTAAAGTCAAAAACACCAATGATATCCTATGCTGGAGAGGATGTGGGGTGAGGGGAACACTCATCCATTGTTGGTGGGAATGCAAACTCGTGCAGCCACTGTGGAAATCAGTGTGGCGGTTTCTCAGGAAACTGGGAGTCAACCTCCCTCAGGACCCAGCAATTCCACTCTTGGGAATATACCCTAAAGATTCCCTAACATACTACAAAAGCATTTGTTCTACTATGTTCATAGCAGCACTATTTGTAATAGCCAGAACCTGGAAACAGCCTAGGTGCCCCTCAATAGAAGAATGGTTAAAAAAGGTGTGGAACATATACACATTAGAGTTTTACTCAGCGGTAAAAAACAATGACATCTTGAATTTTGCATGCAAATGGATGGAAATAGAAAACGCTTTACTGAGTGAGGTAAGCCAGACCCAAAAAGAGGAACACGGTATGTATTCACTCATAAGTGGATTCTAACCATAATTAAAGGTCTTTGAGCCTATTATTCGTGATCCTAGAGAAGCTAAATAAGAAG